TTCAGGTCAGACACACAGTGAGCATGTGGAAACGTAGGTGGAGTTTACTGTAAAGTAGACACCGAGAAAGTTACACTTTCAGGTGAGAAGGTGAGCAGAGCCCCAAGGGGAAGTGTGAGTGCTCTTTATGTACAGACTCATTCCTGGGGTTCGGGTAACTCTGGTGATTGTTGTTTTATTGGCCCAAGTATATGCCTATCAACATTTCTCTTAGGAGTTACTTTGCAACGTTGATATCTCAAAAAATGTACTCTGTGTTCTTTCCAGGGGGTCAATGTTCTACCTAAATCAGGTCTCAGTCCCAGGAGGGAGGGTCTGTAATAAATGCACCCCTTTCTGATATCATTGGGCATAGGCCAGGGCAACCAGAAATGCTGTGTATTTGTTCTAGAAAGAGACGCCAGGGGGCGGGTATCAAAAGGACTGTGCACAATGCATGACCTTAAAATGTCACCTTGCTCTGTGGGACTGTTTTAGGTCTGAGACCTAACAAATGATTATGTACTATACACTGAGCTCTCTGTCGCTGTATTGAATGATAACTGGCCCAGTGTGCTATTTTGGATTCCCCTGTGTCCCTCAGGCCTGCTAATGTATAAATACCTGCCTAACACCCCCCTCCAACAGTTTAGACTCTAAAATCATTTAGGGTATTGGGGTACTGTGTCATTCTGGCTACTTTCTACTGAGAGTGTTGTAGGGAGGGAGTTAGGGTCCTACCATTGCTAACTCAGATGGTTGGTCAAGGCATCAATACAGATGGTTGGGTCAGAAATGCGCAGAACCATGTGAAGACGGGCTGTTAATGAGAATAAAGTTCAGGAGACCATTCATTATAGAAGATCCAAACTGGAACCAAAACTGCAATGGTTATGAACCCTTCCCACCAGAACCACACCCATAATGCCTCCCCAAAGCTGGGATTGGGATCTGGAATAGCCCAGACTCATTGTTTTAAGTAGTGCAAGGCAGATTCAGGACAAAAAGCCCATCTAAACTATAGTTAAATAAGAGGGATGGCAATTGAGCTCCCTATAACCATTGGTATCCAATGGATACCAGCAGGTGAGCCCCTATGCCCTGCAAGCACAGATGAGCAGAAGGGTAATTACAACAGAGGTTCTGATTAGGAGAATACCCAAGGTGTGCACAGCCTCTGATGGATGTGGGAGTGCGGGTGGAGATGGTGAGGCATTTACAGGTATTTAACTGAAGTCTGCTTAAACAAGTATTTTAATCTTTCAGAGACTGGCTTTCCCAGGAGTGTGGGGTCTCTGGAGGGGCTCTTCCTTCCAAGATTTGACCAAGGAGTGACGGATCCAGCTGACAAATCCTGGAACTTTGCTAACTGCTGGAAAAGAGAGAAGTACTGAGAAGGTCCTTCCAAAGAAGAGTTCATTAACCATGTAGGCTCTCCTTGTAGGTTTTAATGTGAACTAATATTCCAGCTTGCTAGAGAGGCCTTTGTTTAGTTACTTTTCTCTCATTGCTGAGACAAAACACCAGACACCCAAAGTTAAAAAGGGAAAGAATTACTTAGCTCACAGACTGTAAAGCTTTCAGTCCATAACCAGCTGGCTCCAAGGCCGGGTGGCACATGGCAGAGGGGCAATAGTTCATGGCAGCAGAAGACAACAAAAGCAACAAGCCAGAAACAAGATGTTTTTCTGTCCCTTATATTATAGGCTGGCTGCCCACCCTAGGATGTGTGTAGCACTCACACCTTTAATCCCAGCATTGGACCATGAATCAATCACATACTCTAGATTCAGCCACCTCTGAAAAGCCCACCCTCCATGACTGCCTGAGGCTTTGGGGGGACATCCAGACACAAACCATAACAGCCTTTGAGACTCCTGGGACCCTGGTAGCAGTACCCGTAATGCATACTCTTGTATACCTGCTGAGATATATTTAGTGTACATGTGTATTGGCCTGGAGCTCGAGCTGTTACTAAGAGAACAGAAGCAGCCATTGTCCTGATGCATCATTAGGCTATCCCTGGGCTACTGTGTCCACCGCCTTGAAAAATGCCCTACAGTCTTTTGAACAGGCCCTAAGGTCTGGCTAAGGACCCTGAAGCCACACCTATAACTGAAAGATAGTCCCAAAATGGGGGCCTCAAGGAGAGGACTTTAATTGATCATAGGCCTGCTGTTATTCCTACTCCCAGGAAAGGGGAATTTGAAGATTATTTAATTTTAGGGACTTCTACAGGCTCAGCCATTAGGCTACACCCAGGGTTCTACAGCCAACAGTAGCCTGTTACTCCTAGGAAAGCACAAAGTTTCATTCCGGTGTAAGGCCTGGAAGAGCCTGGTGCTCTGTACACATCGTGGTAAAAGCACTTGATGCCCTGGGGTTAAAGCAAACTCTAAGCAGTGGACTCTTTGGGACAGTCATTGAGCCCTAGGCTCTGAGGCTCAACATGTAGTCATCCAGGAAGTTCAAAGTCTGAACCAGATGAACTCAAGCTTCTGTTAAAGAAGGGGAACAGCTAAGATCATCCATATATATCATATCATATGATGGCCCCATTCACTAAAGTTAGGTCACCTAAATCGCTGGCTAATACCTGTCCAAAAACAGGTGGACTATCTCCCAATGCTTGGGAAGGATAGTGCAGGTAAACCGTCTGCTCCAAGCTAGCTCATCAGTCCACTCAAAGGGACTCAGGTGCTACCAGAATGTAAAAGACAGTATCTTTAAAACCTAGCACTCAATATTGCATGTCTCTATTTGTTTTCCTGAGAAACGACTTTGAAGATATCAATATGTAATACAAGAAGCATTGTTAATTTCCTACCACTTTGTTTGTAACTCTGTATTGTTCTTTTGCTATTTTATAAATGGTTGTCTGTTTGTTAATGTTTTTCTTCTTTTATTTTTAAAATTAAAAAAAAAAAAATAAAACCTAGCACTGTACACTACTGGTATTTGAAGGCATTTGCCCAGCAGAGTGGTGGGGCTGGGGACTACTGGATGTATAGGAATAACTGCCTCGTTTATAGCCCAGAGGTCTTGCCCTAAACAGTAATTGCCATGAGGCTTCTTGACAGCTAAAATTGGGGCATTACAAGGTGAGGAGCACTAAAAGCCCGTAGCAAAGCAGCTTATTTCTCAGGGGCTGCAGCACTTCTGGGGTTTCAGGTAGAAGAAAACACAGGTTCAGGTGTGGGAAGGCACGAGAATCCTTCAGCTTAATGACTGTTGGGATGGAAGAGACAGCTCTCCCAGACATGCAGGTGCTCACACCTGAGGTTTAGCAGGAAGGTCAGCAAGGATCAAGTCACTGTCCACATTGCTGGGATAGGCAACCCTTGTCCTACATGTGGGGTCATTCAGTAAGCAAAAAATAATTTGAGTCCCCATCTTTGTCATTGAGTCTCAGCCCCGTAAAGGGACAGAACATCCAGGCACTGCCAAAAAACATGGCTAAGGAAAAAAGCATTCCATAAGCAACATACAGGAAGAGTAAAGCATTTAGTCACCAGAGTCACGTGATGCCCGAAACTCAACCAGAGTTGGAGGCCAGCTGTCCAGATTAGAAGGCAAGAACAGATTAAAGAGGCCCTACTCTCAAAGAGGAAGCTCACAGCCTTACTTGTGACATCCAGTGTCACCCAAGACTCTGTCCCATTGATGCTGATGATTGGGCTGGATCCTCCTCATTCCAGGGACAAAATCTGGGGATCTGGGACCAGGAGTCCTTTGAGTGTCAGGATGGTAAGCCCTCTCATGTCCTGTTTTGGTCACACTTAGGGCAAGGTGACTTAGTTTGGCAGGCATTAGGCTGGTCCCCCTTCCAGTGGCCTGTCAGCACCTGGGACACTTGTAAGTTAACTTCCTTTACTTAGGGAAAGGCCACTGGGCAGCATCTGGTCATCCCATAATGCAGCAGGAAGTTCCACATGATTCTGTCTACTCAATTTTAGCTTCCTTCCTTTTTCTCTGTTCTTCCTCCATCCTGGTTACAGGAAAGAGCAGCTTTTTGCAGGGACTTCAGGGCCCAGAGACATCTTCTGCAACTCGCCCTGCCCTCAATGTCTGGAGCTGACTGGGTAAGAGGCATCTGTGAAAGGAGCCACCTCTACCTTGCAGGACTGAGGGGCAGGCACAGGACGCCTTCCCAGAGCTCCCGTAAGTCGTTTTTTACTTCAGCCCCAAGCGATGCGAGCCAGTTTAGTGTGGTTACTGGTTTGACTTTATTCCAGCCCTTCCCCTGCCCAGGATGTGGATTATACAATGTCTGCATTTCCACATCCTGTCTCTCAGGCCCACTCCTGCCTACCTGCCGGCCTCACATCTGTGCGCGTGTGTGTGTACATTTGTGCACATCCACACATGCATAACCTGGCTTAGAGAAAACAATTTCAACAAACCAAAAGAATTTTTTAAACACATTACAACGAAATAATCACATCTGTTTCAGCCTGGAGGTAATGGCTTCCAAGCACAGAGACCAGGGCAAAGTGGCTCTCCGTGTCCCTCACCTGCACATGAGCCGCTCTGCCCTCATCCAAGAGCAAACTGCTGGGTGCTGCTAACCTAGCCAGGTGCTGAGTCCCAGGCGGGACTAACACAGGACTCTCTTCCCTCTTTTATGAGTGGAAGCCAGCCTCAAGTGCCCCATTTATAGTGTTTTTTTAATAGAAAAACATGCTTGTCTCAAACCTGAATTAAACACAAGATCAATTAAATGAATTCTTTACTGTGTCCAGTTAGAGTCAAGGAAATTACTCCATGCTGAGAGCCTGGTGAGGGAGAAATAAGAGCAGGCGTGAGAGTTATAAGCCCCGCGTGAGAGAGGGTCAGAGGGAACATCTTCTGTGCGGGTCTGCAGGACTCGGAGGAGGGCCTGGGAGGCCGCAGGGACTGCACACACAATGGACAGGGACCACAACCCTTAGGGGCTGCTACACGTCACCTTCACTGCACCATCGTTTCTCCAAGGAAACAAGACTGGCGAGCAAAAACAAATGACTAAAAAATTCACAGCATTTTCTTAGAAAAATAGTTTTAATTTATATTTAGCACAGTTTTATTGTAAAATACATTTATTTAGTAAACTCAAAGCAAATTCCCCTCCCTCGTTTACTTCAAAATGCAAGTGGGCTCAGTCAGCATCTCCTCTTCGGGAAGAGGCCTCAGGGCAGGGCCCCACCGGGCAAAAGTCCAGAAGGGAGAAATCCTGCTGCAGAGGGTAGCTGTTCTCATCCAACACAAAAAGACTCCCAATCTTCAGCACTCGGGGCTCAGTACCATCCGCCAGCAGGGAGTGGAGCAGGTCTGCAGCCACCATCCCGTAGGTGACCTCCGAGGACGGCACTGGGAAGACCAAGCACACGCAGCACTCAACGCTCCCGAAGGCAAAAACCACACACAAAAGCACCACACTGTTGCTTGGTTCCTCTGCTCTTCTAACCTTTGTAAAGTGCTCATCCTGTTCCTGTCTTTCTAGCCACTATGGTGCTGCAGCGTGATGGCAGGTTGCTCCTCCTGACACAGAAAGCAGGCACGGAGGATGCCCTGTCCAGCGACAGCAGCGCCCTTAAGGCTCAGCTCTCAGCTGCCTCTGCCTGCCCCTCCCTCCCTCCCT